ATCTTTGAGCAAACAGCGTACACTCAGCTATCATAGATAGTTTCCAAAGTCATGATGTTATTAACTTTACTAAACAAAAGTGATACTACCGAAGATTTTCTACCTCTTTATTCCAAGATTAGTAACAGAAGTTCAATGAAGCTATTTAACTCACTAATTATTTTTTTATTGAAGTTTCTTTCTCATATCATAATGTTTTCAGAAAATAAACTTAACAAAATTATTTATTTTGTGACCCGTGGTATTTACGAGGTCAGTCGAGAGCTTGAATAGGTCACTGGCAATGTCTTTGACTGCAAAACTGACTAACATGGGTTCGAATCTCAGGAAGGACGTAAGTTCCTCCAAGAGAGCAGATACACCTTGCTGACGAGTGACAACAAACACGTAGACCTAGGTGAAAGATTTCTTTCCGATAACCTCCAAGTATCTAATAGAAACAACTCAGAGTGTAGAATGATGGTGAGCCACCTAGAATGGCGAGCACATTGCTAACCTGACTAACAAAATTCATTTCGCATCAAGCAAAGAACCAGACGTACAACATTACATATTGTCCAGTGAAAAAAACTGTGATTATAAATTCAATCTTTGTAGTATAATTTCTTTGAAAGCCATAAATTTTTCTTCACAAAAATAACCGTAAATTTGAATATTTTCACCTTCTTTTTCGAAAGAGTTTGGAATGAATATTTTCGATTTCACTGCCTCCGATTCACAGTCATTTGTTCATGGTACCATTTATTATTGATTAACTAGAAAAGTTTTTTAACGTAGACATAATGAAAATAGACTTGTTTCCATTGAAATGTAAAGATGTAAATCTAAACATAGCCAGAATTTATTTGAAAAATCAAAATAATTATCATCTTGCGTGTTGCACATTGACGTCATTGTCATGTAAACACTTCCTATTATTCTTCTGAAAATAATCACATTCTATAAGGTATTAATTATGCTCTATAAAACTCTCACGGTGTCATTCTCAATGAACTTGATCGTAGGATGGTTGTATCCTCTCTGTATGATAAGCAGTAGTGCTGATCACCCGGTGATAATTTTTTTATCCTTCCTTTACGTTCACTTTTCATTGATTTTATTCATAATGATTTTTCATTAGTAAAAGTCAGAATTAGAAAAGTCATTAGTAAAGTCAGAATTTACCGATGCTTTTTACTTTCTGAGGTATATATGAAATAAATTTATCTTCCTCCTTCACAAATTAAATAGTGAACTGATACAACGATTCTATAGACTGTTCATTTGGTTCACCCTAATCTCCTGCTGAGTAGATGTGTGCTTGAAACTAGAGATTGTCTTTATTCAGTCACGGCAGACTACTAAATAACTCCAAGGCTTCTAAGTGTATGTTACTGGACTCATTTTGAGTGAGAATACCATCGGTGTAGGAGGTACAACATTGTTTTCTATATCATTTATTCAATAAAAAGAATAAAGACGTCTCTGAATCCCCTATTATTTGCCAGACAAACAAACTGACCAAAATCAACTGAAAAGGAATAAAACACAAATTCTTCTTAGCAAACGGTGTCAAATGATTGTTCTGTAAACTTTTGCGTGTTGGATAACTAATCCTTATATGATATTTTTTGTAGATCCTATGATTAAACGTGGACCGTATGAAAAAAATGAGCATTAAGTTTGAATTTCCACATACAAACAGATACTCGAACGTTTGCGGAGAAAAATAAATAGTCACTTCTTAATTTTTGAAGAGCAATGTAAATAAAACTCTTGGAGTACTGAATTTGTCTTCTACTATAATCCCAAGTATTAGTTAACAATGCTTTGAATTTAAACATATTTTTCGGAAATACTCCATGGATACATCAAAAGTGACTTAAAAACAGGGAAGAGAAAGGGCGAAATGACCGGGAAAACATACCAAGTTGATTCTCATCTATATTATTTAGTAATAAGTAGAAAGTGTTTTTCAATAGACTGACGTTTGATTGTAAAGTTTAAACAACACTGAATGGTTGTTTCCTATGTTCTTTTCTTAAAAAATGCACTCTAATATTCAAAGAACGATTCCTAGAAAGATAGCATTCCAGGTGAACGAATGTCAAAGTATAGATAAAAAATTTTTTTATTTATCTAACTATCGTGATCTCTGATAAAGATATCAGTTGTACACAAAGAACATTTACTACGATTGAGGAGCTTTTCTGATAGTCTTTTATGTTTATAATTTTTCTATTATTGAGACAACAGTAATGCCAAAAGAATAACTGAAACTCTTATGGCAAAACGATCAAATCAATTAAGAATAGATTAGACTGGTGGACAAATATCTTGTTTTTATGCTAAAATGGTATTATTTTTCTTTAAGGTCATAAATGGAAATAAAATAATAATGATGAAAAAAACAACATATTGAAAGGTCAGATGTAATAGCTATTTGAATAACAATAGTGTTTTTGATGAATCATCTTACTTGACTGAATTCCAACTTCAAACCATTCGTGAGCACTTAGGTTAATTAAGGACAGTGGAGTGAAACAAGCAAAAGGATAACCTTAGCGTAGAATGGTTGACTGCATAATATCTGTTGCCAGATTTTGAGTAGATTTTTCAACGGCAAAAATACTTCGCTAAGTTTAACAGTAAGTAAAAGGCAAACAGTAGGTGAAACGACTTTCCATTTTATTGACAGGTAACGTTTATCCAACATGAAGATGAGAACAATAAAACTTACAAGGTATAAAACTTACAGCTTTGACATCATGTAGGTATTTAAATTCTCTGAAAATAAGGGGACTGTTACTGCTTACCATTACACGATAAATCAATGTCAACGTTAGCATCAAATGTCATGAATAAAAACAATTCCTACTGTGATTTACTAGAGGTCACAATCTTAAAAAGTCTTACTCTATGTCTCTTTAACTCAGATCACTACGAAAATCCGGGACATATATTTTATTATTAGATGGACAGTGAATACAAGTGCTTACCATGAAAGGTTAATTTGTCGAATTCACATGTTCTGAAAGTCTTAAGATGTTAAGAACAACAACAAAATTTGATAAATAACTAGCGAATTTTTCATAGCATTGATCTGGATGAATTTCTGTCTGCGTGTCTGAATGGTGAATATGTTTAAAACGGCAACATAGCTCCAACTAGATATCAAAGTGATTGGTTTGCATTACAGACATGAACGTAGTTTCAAATAAGAATTATTTTCCAATCTAAACTTCTTATTAGCATTTATGCAGCACTGCGTTGGTTATTATTATTATATATTATTATATCCTTTAATTTCTAGAGGAACATACGGCTTCAGCTGCGCGTCTCCATTGCCCTCTGTTTTCTGCCAACTTTTTCACCCCGCTCCAAGTCTGCCCACATGCTTTCATCTCCTCTTCACATGACCTCCTCCGAATCACCCTTGCACTGACGACCAAATCGCCGCTTCCCTTTCGGGTTCCAATCGAGCAATGGCTTGTCTAGTGATGTCACTCACTTGATGGTTTTCTCAGAGTATGGCCAGCCAATCCATCTCCATTTCTTCCTGCCTATTTGTTTCACAATCGGTTCCTGCTGGGTTAATTCGCTCCAAGAGATCCCTATTGCTGATCTTTTCTGGCCAGCCATCTGATCTTGAATATTGAGCGAAGACAACTGTTGATGAAGGTCTGAAGTTTGTTTGAGATGCTCTTTATGACGCGCAGTGCAGGTCTCTGATCCGTATAGTAGCACTGACTTCACACTAGAGTTGAATATAAAGATCTTTTTTTTATCCTGAGTGGTGTTGACCGCCACACTGACTTAAGGGTAATGAAAGCCTGTCTTGCTTTCCCGATTCTGGCTTTGATATCCTCGTCAGTTCCATCGGTCTGTAGTTGAAACGATGCTTCCCTGGTGGGTAGGTAAAGGAGGTTGTTTCTTTCAGGTTCCTTCTATTTATGCTGCCTGATTGTTGTCTGTTGTTGTTGTTGCTGCTGTTGCTGTTGGACAGGAATCTTCATCACCTACCTCTGTTTGATCTATGTTCACCTGAAGTCCTATCTTCTCTAGATGCTTCTTCTTCCAACTTGTTGCTTTTCACTTGCATATCTTCTAGTTTGTGAGAAATCAGACACATATATCGCATCGGCGAAGTCCAGATCCTCCAAGTGGTTTTTTGTGTGAGTCCATTTTATGCCTGTTTCCCCATCGCCCGCTTCTTTAAGTTTCCCGTTGTGGATTACTTGGGATTCAGCATTGTCGTATAACTGTTGGATGAGATGTATAATTGTCGATGGCGCCTCACAGTAGTAGCGAAGTAGTTGCAAACGACCTCTCGATCAACGCTGTCGAAGGCCTTTCCCAAGTTGATGAAGTTGAGTGAGGTGGAGAGGTGACTGCCGTTCCAAGCTTTGTTCAATGATGATCCGTAGAGTGGCGATTTGATCGTTACATGATTTGTTTCTCCTGAATCCGGCCTGTTTCGGTCGAAGTTTTTCATCCATGTTGGCGTGTTTGTTTCCGTCCAGGATGATGCGGCTTAGTATTTTGCTTGGGACGGACAGGAGCATAATTCCACGCCAGTTTTTGCATTGGCTTAAGTCTCTTTTCTTTGGTAGTTTGAATAAGTATCCTTTCTTCCACACCTTATCCAGCAATAGTGTCAACAAGACTGCGTTGATAGGCTGTGTGAATTAATTAACTCAAAAGAAAACCCAAAATTCCCATGGTTTTAATTCTAATACCTGTTCGGATGTCAAACAGCAGTATAGCCGTATAATTAGAAACAATCAGAATGTGACCATGTTAAACTATTACTGATTTTAATACAGCATTATTCTAAATAAGTTTATCTCTACAGAGTGTCATTGTGCTTTTATGTCACAACATACTCTAAAATCTTAAATTATGCTTAGAAGTTTTAATACAGTTCCCACCGGATCAGCATAAAAGCAGTTGATATTTCGATTTTCTAAAAAGCATAGTATTAATGATCTTTCAATGTTGTTTTTTTTAAATGTTTTTAGACTGAACTATCGCAATCGCTTCAGGCTCTTTCCGAAAGGGCTCGATCGGCTACAGAACACATACAACGTCTGAGATCTAAATCGGAAACTGTAAAAGTGAGTTATTTTTAATCCTCATTATCAGGTTTAATATCATTAAAAACTGATATGAATACAAAGTAGTTATTCAGTTCTGGCTGTTAGATAATTAACTATCTTGTATTCACATCTCTTGTTCTTCTATTATACTTTCTGAGTTGATGTTAAGGTATGTTATTGTAAGTGTAAATATATAACTTATACCGTTTCTAGACTATTGGAAGCTTAAGGAAAGCCATAAAATAAGAGACAGATGAACTACTTTTGCTCTAGAAATGTTCTATCTTGACTATTATTTGGCTGTTATTAGATAATTAAACTAAACGAACATAAAAGGCATGAAGAAAGACGTCTTCCATTAAAATGTAGAAGTGTTAAGCTGTATCAGTTGTAACCTGCAAAATCTAACTTACTTGACTAACAGATATGCTGATAGACATATATGTAGAGCCAACAAAATATCACTTACACATAGTCTGAGGCATTTTGTGACACCACTTACGTAGGAAACTTTAACTCAGTATGATCTAGCAAGTAATTCGTCAAAAGAGATCAGTTTACAAGGGTCACTCGTTAAGATGTCTGTTGAAAAGGAATTCAAAACACATAATTTATCTGCTAGTTATTTTTTAGTATTTTGTATAACAGCAGTAGTCACTGAAGTCGCTAATAAGTCACAGACGTCTTGAAGAGAATGAAGGCCAGTCAACTAATCAAAGGGGATATCTATGACCAGAACCGGCCAACAAGTTCAATAATACCAAGACTTTATGGTCTACCAAAGGTAAATAAGGTAGGTCTCCCACTTCGTCCAGTTCTGGATATGTCAGGTTCCCCCTATCATTCTAATACAAAATGGCTAGCAGATATTCTGGAACCAGTAATGAAGCAATTATGCACGCACTCGCTCCGTGACACCTTTCAGTTCGTTCACTGCATACAAGACATGAATGTATCTAATAAAATTATGCTGTCCTTCGACATTGAGTCGCTTTTCACCAATGTCCTACTCACAGAAACGGTCTGCTTCATATGCAGATATATGGGTGACAACAACCTCAATATTGGAATACCAACAACATATTTGAAGGAATTACTATTGAGATGCGCTCTGAACGTCCAGTTTACATTCAGCGACACCATCTACAGACAAAAAGATGGTTTCGCAATGGGATCTCCGTTGGGTCCACAAATATCAGGTTGCTTCGTGGCAAGCCTCGAGAGAGGTCCACTAAAGCCGAGCACTGACAATTTACGACTGTATAAAAGATACGTGGACGACATTTTCATTATGTGTGACAACAACAACGACCCCAGTCTGCTGCTGAAGACATTTAACAATTGCCGTCCAGAAATAAAATTCACTCTTGAAATGGAAAACGAGTCAAATATTCCGTTTCTCGATGTGGAACTAACAAGAAGAACTGATGGGAGTCTAAGAAGATCGATCCATAGAAAACCTACGTGGAATGATCAAATAACAAGCTTCCATAGCTGGGTACCCATTCAATAAAAGAGGAATTTAATTATGTCACCTGCCACCCGCATCCCACACATCTGTATTCCCGACGTTCTGGAAACAGAATTAGATATTCTAAGAGAAATCTTCATCCAAAATGGATACCCAATAAGATTCATCGACAAAAATATCAAAACAGTAATTCGGAGAAACGAAACTTTAATTGCGCTCAAAAAGAAACTCTACATGAATTTGGATTTCAGTGGAGATTTAGCAAGAGATATTCCGAAGAGAAGGATAACATCATCTCTGAGAAGAACATTCTTTGCAGCAACGCTAAGAATGGTGTTCTCCAGTCGCCAGCTGATCTGCAGAAGTCTCAAGGACAAGATCCCGCATCTGACCACTTCTATGCGCATATATCAGTTCACCTGCTGCTGTTGAACCAGATACATCGGTCGTTCGACGCCCATCCTGTCCAACAGGATTCAAGAACACTATCTAGCATGGTTGCGAAAAGGCAATAGTGGTGCAATAAGGAGTGCGATAATTGAACACCCTGTTAACACTGATCATTCCATTTCAACAAACGCCTCCTTCAAAGTAATCTACAGAGTCAAGAATAACCTATCAAATGCAATACAGTTTCGTCTTGTTTGTGTCGTTGATGCATACAAAAGAGAATTACTCAACCACTTCTACTGTCATGGTAACAACTCTATTGATTTTTGATGACTTAATTTTGTTTCTTTAACTGTTCTTAATTGCTTGGAATTCTTGTATTCATTCAGAACTCTTACGTAATTCCGCATTATCTACTTTGTTTCTATGTGCATCCTGAGTAAAACTCACTCGCCAAACTATCCATATTATTACATAACTTCTTTTAACAACTGTTTGTGACGATTCATCATCTTTGTTACTGCCCTAATTTCATTAACACCTAGTTTTCTTAACTTGTATTACCAATCTTCACCTGTTTAGTTAAAATAACCATAACTAATTTTAATTTTGTTTGACAAACTTAATGTGCACATACATAAAAAATAACACATATATATTTGCGATTGTACAGCTAAGAAAATGAATTCGCCGAAAAGAGTCTCTTCGCTGATCAACGTGTTTTGTTTCCATTAAAATAATAACATTGGTAATATTGCACAATCTGTAAAATTCCCTCATCAGGTTGATATTTTTCAGTCAGTGATAAAGTATCCATTAAAGTATATGCATTCAATGTTTATTTTACAAATAACTGTGATATTTTAATTGTTGCTATATTCTTGAAGTAGTATCAACCAGTCTGCTGAACAAAACTTTGCAGTTATTTATTCGAATTTCACTGATTCATAAGAGAAATTATTTTTTACTTATATGTCTACATTTAATTCGATGCCCAATCTTTGTGGGGCTATTCAGTGTAACCTTGATTAGAGTTCGTGTCAAACACCTGTTCTTCTGTTGTTAAATCATGAGATATTAAGTAAGAATAAGTTAGGAAACTTCCTAATGCTTTCTGGGATTTGACGTGGATTTTCAATGAGTACAAAAGTGTCACCGAATACCACTTGACACCGAGATGATTAGAATAAACCACTAGTTATGGTGTTTGAATAATTCGCGATTAATATGGTATGCTTGGCTATGAATTATACAAAAAAACTTATAGTTTTATTTCATTTTTTAATTGAATAAGCACTTAGAATACAAACAGACTTTAATGATAAAACAAATCTTGACAAGAATAAAGCATGTACATACTAACTTAGATTTGATCATTTGATACACCATGTCTGATTAGTGACGAAGTAATTTTTATTAGAAAACTTTAAGGTTTATATCCTCAATTTTTATATTAGATATTAATTCTGTCTAAACTGATTTATCGAATAAAACGTATATATGTATATATTAGCTGGTTATAAAAACAGCATAAAACGCATGTTGTTGATAACGCATGAAATGGAGGAGCAAAAAACATATCTGTCACTTATTTCATCTATCAACACAGTTCACTCTATAAATGAGAATTGATTGTATGATGAAATATTAATGTGACTAGATAGCAGCAATATTCTTTATTTATTGGACAAAAGGATTGAATTAGATAAATAAATAACAGATTTATGAGTGAAAAACTATCAATGAGAAATATTTTCTACTTTGAATAACTGATTTAAACGGTAAAGTGAACTGTAATAAAGAAGTAATAAAAGATATAAAAATGCAGAATACTTAACTTTATATGTAATCACGCTTTTTTCGGGAATTAACAGTTTACTGTTAACAAGTGATTGGAATAATAAACACTCAACTAACAGAACTATGATGTAACGTGGATGGACTATCAGCTGAGTAGATTCATCCTGAAGGGGTAAATTCATTTAATGTGATGAGATAAAAGGTCATCAAATAGACTACTGACTTTATGTACTCTTGAAAATACTGTGAATTCGTATTATTAGAGAAGAGGGATGCCATATAAAATGTCACTAGGCTATTCAAAAAGACAAGAACAAACGTGCTGATACATCAGTTCACTCATGGTCGAGTGACTATGCAATGGGTCTATGCCGCCAACTATCACAGGGTAACTTATCATTTCTCAGAATGAAGCTGCCAGCTTTGATTATTATTCAGATTCTTCCGTAGAATGATGCAGATCTATATATTCAGGACTTAATTTTATCAGTTACACAAAACAAAATGCATGGTTAGGAAGGTCTTGTGCATTTGTTTCAGACGTCTTGGTGCAACCAAATTTACTTTATACCTACATGTTCACTTATGAACTATTAAATTCCGCATAGAAGCAAGTTAAAACCAAGATATGGAAAGCGGATTAGATGATGTTTGTTTACATAAGGAATCAGGATAAAATCTGTCAAACATGAAAATATGTTTCGGTAAACCAGTAACTTTTACATTTTTCAAAATACTGTACAACAGTATGCAATATTCGCACTTTAGGAAACTATAATGATAGTATCAATAAACAAGATAATCAGTAATGATTAACGAATAAGGCTAGATTAGCTTATTCAGTTTATATTTACTGTAAATGAATTCTCACTGTGAAGCTAAAATCTGTGAAATAAATCACCTCCCTCTGTTGATTGCTTTAGTAAAACCAACGTCTAGCTACTAGTGGTGCTGAATGATTTGAGTCAGCTTAGTTTGCAATATAATATAATCACACTGAGATATATGCATTGTATTTTGAATTGTTACTAGATATTCTGAGTTCCTGTAGCAGCATCAGCTGACGAGAACCAATAAGTATAGAATCTAGAGTCAGAAACTCCAACTGACTGCCTCACATTACAAGTTATCTCCATATCAAAATTTTTCAATAACGTTGCTAACCGTAAATCAATGGCTGATTAATTTAGTAAACAATCAGTCTACAAAGCTATTGTATACTGGTGATAAATTGATCATTACAAATATTGTCACCTATGTGCAAAGAATTATTCTTCATACAATCTGTTACATTTCTTACGATTAACCGAGATAACATACAGAATTCATATGAGGAAAATGTGGAGAAGAATCACTGTTATATATATATATATATATATATATATATATACTCGTTACGTTTCGAGTGGAAGACAGGGCTTTGAAGTTTCAATAGTGGTGTTTTTTGTATGAGTTGGCGTTAGTAGCCTCAGCCTTTTTTCCCAACCAGGCTTACTATCAGCTAGGCAGTGTTTTGAAGTGTGCCTGACAGTAACTGAAACCGGACCATATGTGTGATTGGAGAGCTCCCTACCAATGAACCACCGACGCACATACATGTGGTTTTATAAAATAGTATTTTAGAAATTCTAATTGGTGAAAATTACACAGCATCGAATTCCAGGGTGAAACTCGTGGTACAGGAACCGTGTCATTATAGAGTTGAGCAGTTCACTAATTTTGCCAAACATATCTTCGGATACACATGTCTTAATCGGAATGCAACGTATATTATAATTAGCGTGTTTAGTTGTGCGAACAAAATAATGAGAGGCACTTTTCACAACAAATGAAGAAAATATCTTTTAATTCTCGGTAAACCAATATAGCGAAGTTAACTTGTTTAAAAGTGATAGACGCTTAGAACTACTGTAATTGATTGCGACAGTCACTTTTAATTTCCGCTTGTCAGTGTGATACACTGTTTTCGACAATGGTTTATTAAAATTATGTGATGATGGATGATACATAAAAGTCATCCTAACTCCTACATAAAAAGTCTGATATATCCAGTGATTTCTAAAGTTTTTCATCACATACGAAGATTCAACTAACCCAAACTTTCTGACCATAAAAACTGGATTCGTATCAGTTAAGATGCGGTTAACGTTTATGTAATCATACAAAATGCAGCTGTTTTGTTTCATATTATCTCAAATAACTGCATAATCAAACATAATCAGAGTAATACTTTAACGTTCTCATACTTATTTTTTCTCTACATTTCCTAATTTAACCATAATTTTGCCATTTTAACCTCAGGCAAACACAGGCTAATTTGAGTGCGTTTAGTGGGTGATACATTAAGCTTAACTTATCGATTTTATTCAGTTTATATCCTGCTTCAAAGCGAAATCTTTCCTTCAACGTCTAAAGAGGAATAAGGTCATCCTCTTCATTAAATTTTAATTAGAGCAGTGTAACCAAGACTTTTGGACACGAAAGTTCAAGATTTCCTCAAGATAATTATTGTTTAATAGTCAGGGAAACAAATATATATTTATATTTCATAAGTTTCCATAAAACCATTTCGCATAACTAGTACTGTCAATATACGTCTGCATAATTTCATAGTAAGTCTACTCAGTTTTCCATTAAAACGCTCAATCTGTCTAACTGCATCAACAAATGGTTGATCAGGCCTCCTCTATACTGAGTGATTTAAACGGAAATGCATGTAATAATTAAAAATGTTAATAAATTATACAATGTCAAACTAAGTGCAGGATATCTTCAATGATTGACATACTTGTTACTGTTTCCTGTGATTACTACATATCATGACTGTAATGCAATACTAATTAATATGAGTAGTTGGATATCCCTTTTAATCGTATTTAATAGCAGTCTGGATTTGAACGCTTAGCATTTCCCCATAATTTATTTCACTTTACTAAAAGTTCATTTATTGTGGATACAGTATAATAATAGTCGAATCTTCCGTACTTTCATTTGCTAGGAGACTCTGGTTGATATGGAACATGAATTCTTGGAACTAATCAACCTTTTTCAATCAAACACTTTACATGCGACTTATACTACCGATTGACTGATATAATTAGTTGAACTTCATTCTCGTCAATTACTGGTGCATCCTAGATAGATCGAAGTCATTTAGACACCGGATAGTCTTTTTCACTCAAGCTCGTCAGTGCTATAATCGGTATGATCTACCTCAGAGGACCGAATCAGTCCAAACCACCTGAGTTCTAACTACATTCATGGGCTAACTGATAGTACATGGAATTCAATCCGCCATTTATAAATTAGAAAGTTCACCGCACTTTTCTTTAAAAACAGAGAGTGTTTAGATCATAGTATCTGATCTGCTAGATACGTTTTTTGAACATCCTTTTTCTGTTTTCAAGAGATACAGTAAAACGTTTAAATAATGAATAGTGAAAACTTTGTTTAATTGCCTAAAATATCACTTTATATGCCTTCCATTTTATGTTTGCATAAATGAAATGCTTCGTGTATTTTATACCTACCTTTTATTCTTTCGGTGAAAACCATAACTTTGGCATACAACGACTTATAAAAATGTGGTGAACCGCGTGGAACTTTTCACGATAACACACTTGTTAACTATTATTTGATTTTATAAGAACTCTTCACTCGTCGGGAAAACTATGTTTGCGCTTGCATAATTTATATCCAAACATACCCTTCGGTAATGAGAAAGTAATACGGACAAAAACCAGACTTCATTTTGGTTAAATTAGGAGTGAAATGATGTTAATTTCATTCACTATGAGATACCACATTCCTTACAGTATTACAAACATTAACAGTTCTCCGTAGTCGGATAAAAACAAGGAGTTTTAACTTTTTTCTAATTTATAACGATGGTTTATTAGTAAAGCAAGTTGCTTTTTTCATATATGGGATTTCACTTCAGCCACATTATTTCACTATGAATTATTTTCATCCGTTAAAAAAGAAAATCAAAGTCATAAAACTATTTAAGATTTATTTTTAGTCTAAATACCAAACAAAATAAAAGCAAGATAAGATCAAACCTGAACAATATTTAAATTTTCTCCTAAAAAGGATACTTTTGATAAAGTCTCACAGTGTTATACAGTAATGTTTACTGATGACGTTTCGAGCTCGTGCTCGTACTGTATAAAACTGTGAGAATTTATCAAAACAAAATTTACCCATAATGGAATTATACTGTAACACAGTGCACAATTTTTATTCTTATATCAAGGATACACTTTGCTTTGCTTTTAATAATCGCGTGTACTGTAATTGGACATCAGAAGACTGAATAAAGTAGTAAATAAGATTTGTATTCAAATGATTAGGACATTCTAATTTTGAGTAGTGAAATTTACTAAAACAAAATCGCGGAATTTTGAATTTGAGTTCTATGACATCTAAGTTACCAACCGTCTATTATGCTATGTAAGAACATGAGGAAAGTAACTGTTCATACTGAAGCAAAACAGTAAACTTATTATCAGTGAAACACTTGAAGTACTTTGGTATTTCGGTATACATTTTTGTCAGTTAAAATATTTATTAAATTAATTGATTGGTAAATTAAAAAGCTTCACAAAAGACAGTCAAAATAAATTTAGACAGTAAAGGTTCAGAAGAATAAACTTGAGTTTTTCTACTTTCAATCAACAATTCAGGAAGTATGATACAACTACAGTACTTCAAAAGTACTTCTTCCGTCAGTACTTCTGACAAGAGTGTGTAATTAGTAAATTGCGTATGAGGTGTGCAAAATACTAAATGTTGGTGAGATAGATTGAACGGCGAAGAGGAGACATGGAAAGTCTTTTTGAAACAACAGTGAAGTCATAAAATGCAGACGAAAGATACACAATACGGACAAATGCAAATGGAGATTTCACTGTGAGGTATCTCTTGTTCGTCATATCTTTTCATCTCTTGGTCAATAAACACTTCGCCTCGTGCGTCGGTGGCACAGTGGTTAGGACTCTCGCCGACCATGCAGGGGTTCGATCCCCTGCCAACGCACACCTGATATCTATGGTTGGCCTACAAAATTTGGGCTACCGATATCACATGCTGAAAATTCCATACCTGTACCAAAAAATACGGTGTGGAATCAAGCTGTAATAAAAAAATACTACCATATTCTGTGGTTATATACTTATAATCTTTTTAGTGTCTATCTAGTTAAATCGCATGGTATTGGTTGATTTATGTACCTATGTGATACGTGAGGAAACACGAAAGGAAAATTTTCACTGCTTGTTTCTGTCAAACAAGATTATTGCCTGGTAGAATTATACTTAGTAATTTTCCAGATTCTATTTTCATTGCAAAGAAAAGGAGAGTAACTGGTTACGTAACATAGCAGGAAACCTTTTACTTGGGGTATTTCAGTTAGGATTTAGGACTATCCGATAACTCTGGTCAACACATCAGATCTTAAGACAGAATTCGAATCTCAAAATACATTAGAAATATAAAGAATCCGTTACATTGTTTTCGTTCAATTCTAGTAACATCTTTTTTTAATTTCCTTCTCTTTTGAATTTTTGTAGAGAAATCTGGCAGATTCAGAAAAAGAACTTATGGAACAGTTGAACAGTTTGATTGCTGCAATTGAGACAAAAAAGCAAGAATTAACAGAACGTTTACGTGATGAGCGAGCAAAAAAAGTTCATTCATTAAAGGATCAAATAAATCGAGTTACCTCACTATTAACTAAATCAACTGGCCTTATTCAGTTTTGTATTGAAATGTTAAAAGAAAGTGATCCATCCGCTTTTCTTCTGGTAATTTCAGTCATTCTTCTTAACTTTTTTTCTCTCTGTGTATCATTTGTGAACTAACTGATTTAAAACCACATCACTTGTAAGAAAGTGTGGTAGAAAAGCAGTAATTACAGAATGAATAATCTCTGTACATTACTGCATATTCAAGCTTAGTTAAGGATATGAAATTGCCAGCGACCATCTTCTAACCGAATAAATCCATTCACTATAACTCCAATAATTCTGAACGAATAAAGCCAATACTGCTAATCAATCTACGACATTTTCAAAACCACTTACCTACGAGTAACTTTAACTGTACAAAGCTATGTGATGAAATGTATTTCTTCAGAGTAATATATTTCTCAAGGAAATTTGCTCAGGATAAGATATAACTGTCTAAAGAATTTGTCAAACTGAAAACGCCTAAATGTTCCTCATTTGTGACATCAATACTAATTAATGCAGGTGAAATATTATACAAGGTAGCTTTTATATTGTCTGAAATGAAAAGACGTAAGCTTTATAAATTCAAATCTCTTCATACTTAAAGTATCTGAAGAATTAAACACAGATACATGTGTTTAGACGTGTAAATTATAGTTTCCAGTTTCTGGGCACTAGATCCCTGAAAATTTTAAAATCCTGAATTTGACAGTATTAGGACAGAGAATTTCTCAAATTCATTCATCAACCTGAAACCAATCTGGGAATCTTCGTCACTCAGCCAGCATCAACAACAAAATTCGGTCGGATTTTCAATACAAACATCAAGTCAGTCAGTTCTTCTATAGGGATAAGAAACTTGACGGGTGGGTCACAAAGAATATTTCCAACAGCCTGTTGCAGACATTTATCAACCAACAACTGTCTTCACTCTATACTGAAGATCAGATGTCTGAGCCGGGCTGGAAAGAATCACCACCAACAGGAAACTATGGCTGGGAACAAACAAAACAAGAACCATTCGCCAACCAACAAATATGCAGGAGAGAGTGGAGATGGATTAAACACTCGTTGAGGAGACCGCTGGGTGACATCGTGTGCGCGTCAGGCCATTGCTCGAGTGGAACCAGACCGAAAGGGAAGCAAGCGGCGAGTGAGACGTCAGTGCAAGGGTGACATGGAGGAGATGGTGTGAAGAGGAGTTGGAAGAGTATGAACTAACATGGATGCAGGTGAAGGGTAAATACAGGAGAAGACAGAAGCAAGTGGAGACGTGCAGTTGAAGCCCATTGTTTTATCAGGAACCCAAAGGAACAATAATAATCCTTGAATCATTATTAACCTTTTTTATGAATTATTAAGTTTGGTGATTGTGCGTCAGTGTATTTTGTTACTTAGTTGAGATATTGTTCATATTTGAAAAAGTCTCATTTTCAAATACTCTGATATGTGATGTTGAAATTTTGTATTAAGGAATGTAATTTACGTTTTCGCCACTCTACATTGATATATCCTTGTTAACGGTTGATCACTCAACGAAGGATAAATTAGCAACATAATGCAACATGCTTCTTGATTTGCTTATCTTTAGGAGTGGGTGTGCAACTAATAAGAAGCAGAGCATAATACGTTTTCTACTGGTCTTAATTAATTCTCTTGTCTATTTTACATAAAACAGTTTGAATTGAACAAAATGGGCTCCTACATGTCGATTTCATGGATTTATTATTTTGCAATTGGTTAGACATCACTAAATGAGATACATTCTGTTACTTTTCAGGTTTCTCAGTCACTTATATCAAGAACACAAAGTGCAGAACAAACATTCATTCAAGAACTACAGCATACCTCTTCCGTTAATGATATCACTGGTTCACTGTTGTCACTTGCATTATCATCAAGTAAAGATTACTCACATCATTCCCCAAAGAAGAGATCGAGTGGTGGAGGAAACACCAGTAGTCCAAAGTATTCAAATAAAACAAGTGATCTCTTAGGAGTGAATAGTGTTGAAGCAATACGTCGGGCAATTTTAAATTTAGGCCTGGAAGAAGATCAAAGTAAGTGATTACAAGAATTATGAATGCCACTGATACTATTGATTTATTATTGTATTAATACTTCTGATGAATAATCGAATTCATTTGTCTGACCGCGAAAATTGCCACAAGTGTTTGTAAATTGGTCTGAAATTGTTTTCTTTTTCATTGTTACATCTGTAAAATCATTCCCCATCTAAATAAGAATACGTGAATAATGAGTTTGCTGTGAGAAAACGGTCTTGTTGAAACCGCTGTGCAATATGACATTGTTCATTTCTATCACTATTCTGCTTCAGGTCAAGCTCTGATTACTTAATTCCATAAGAGCCCTCAATAACGCATAGTGATATTCGGCCGTGATCTAAGATTAAATTCGTTGACTAGTATAGACTTTGTTAACTATTGGCTCATTTAAGCCTTGTGGTTTGCATAAGATATTTAATAATTGACGTTAGGATATTAGTTTGGCATAATTAGATACAGATAAAGATTTGTTTGATACAGCACACTGTGATACAACAAATTTAGCCGGACGACGTTTCGAGGATAATTCACTGTGCATAATTATGTCAATCTATCTATAGGACTCTTTGTACTCGTTTTATAGTGCAGTTATTTAGCTCCAATTTATCAATGTAATTCTTGTTTCTGGTACTGAGGTTGCATCGTCTCTATTGTACAATTTAGGCACTGATTTAGTTAACATAGTTTCACTAGCTAAACTCTCTTTCCACCTAACAATTATTTAGTAGTCATGGCTGCTTTATTCTTCTGATTTCTGACTCACTGGTCAGTTTGTTGACTTCATTAAACATTATGTGTTTATGTAATCAAAACACAACTGAAGAATTATTTGCAAGAATCTGTTCAAAAGTTTATAAAGATTCATGTGAAAGACAGTTCTGCTAATGTAAATAATAGTCACAAAATGAAGCATTAGGAATTTGAAGACATCTTAGTATTATTATGTTAAGAAGGGATATCTAAAACACTACATAGGATTCATAATAATGCTGAATTTACGATGGCTTTTAAACCTACATACCCATCCAAAGACAAAATTTCTCCGCCTGTTCTATTTAGACAGATATCGTGTAATGATGCTGAGGTCAAATATCTAGGTTGACCAGTGGATCTAAATAAGTTATATCATTAGAATATGTTGGTATTAGATTGTTGAAGGCAGTCAGCAGGACGCCTTGCACCTAGGTCTAGTGCTAATTGGCACTCGTCAGTAAGGCGTATCTATAATCTTGGAGGAACTCATGGTGCCATTTCAAATCTCAGAGGGAAAATGAGTTTCTTCAAGGTTGCAGATACGCCTTACTGGTGAGTGCCAACTAACACGGTTCAAGGCTTCCTGCAACCATCTAATACCGTTAATTCACAGCGCACTATGATAGCAAGCCAACTAGCATAGCAGCCACATTGCGAACTTGACTAACAGAATTCAGTCTGCACTAAAAGACAGGACTAGTCACATTACACTGCTGACTGACTAGTGTCCAATCAAAATATGTTATGGGTATACCCATATCTAGAATGATGTATCCCGTGTAGTTAAATAAGCCTGCATAGATGCCCTGTCATGGATACGCGTACTCTCGCATGCAATCAAAGAGAATAATAAGACAGGGTAAAAATATTATAAAGTAGTATACTTAGATGGAAACATCACCAATAAAGGATTTATGAAAACGTTCAAAAGTAATCAAGAATTAAAAAATATGTATAGTTAATAAGTCGTGTTAACACACTTATGTCAGTGTAAGCAATAAATGGGCTCGAGACATCATCCAACTGTCAATAGTGTATCAGAAAAACCTATGTAATATGAGGTGAATTAGTATTAGCTGCTCATAAATATGAAATATTACCACTAGACAAGGCCATATCATTAGATTACTTTTGTCTCAGTGTAATTACGTAATGTGTATAACTAAATTACAGGAAGAAAAGAAATTTTTCACGCTATATGTCGCAAAAGTTTTATTCTTACGCCTTATGCTCATTCTTTTTTGAAGAAAACTGAGGGGCTAAAAGAAGTTTTTTCCACTCACACGACTAACTAAGCCCAATCATTTTTCTTATCATTTCTTTCTTCGTGTTCGAGAGAGGAGAATAAAAGGAAAGAAAGAAAAGGAGTAGGGAATATTGTAAGAACTTGCAGAATATTATTTTGTCTGTTAAAAAAAAATTTGCAGATAACTCAGTTATGGACAAAAGTCTTACAATGTGTCCATCATCAGCAATGTATTACTTGTATTTCTTAATTCCCTTCATTTTTTTTCACCTATTCATTTCCAAATATAAACGTATATGTTATATCGACATATGCATATCTACTCATAGAACGAAAAACAAAAAGAGCGATCAACTGAGAACTCACTAATCTGCATAATTATCGATTGTCTCAACTTGAAACAAATAAAAAAAACTACTGACTTTATTGCTATCTTATCCAATGGAAATATCTTAAGTCTAAATATGTGTATCTACGTTTGTGTGTGCGTGCGTGAGCAGTTTCAGACTTATATCAATGAAATAACTATCCATAGAACAATGAACAAGAAATGAAATAAAACAAACATGTTTCAGATGGATCATGAAAGGGAGACCTATGCTGATGCCTATCTTACTAGGTTTTGGTGGTGTTACTGTTTTTCTAAATTTTTCAGTAATCACGTACGTGTTCCAAGTTCGACTGCCAGTAGGCGCAACCCTAAGCCTCTTATTGACTGGTAGTAAAACGTGTAAAGAGCACAGGTTTGGCCTGAGTCTAACAAACCCATAGTGCAAGAAAAATTGCGACCACTAATGAAACGTCGAAGCTCAAGCTCAAAACCGCAAGTTCCACTCAGAAAAAAAGGAATAAAAACCTTGTTTATTTGCTTTCATTATTTTTCAAGAGTTAGCTTTTAAGGATTTCATTTGTTACAAGTTTGATCACGGACTTATGTCAGTTAAAGAACCACTGTAAGCCAAAAGGTACTGAGTAGCTGCCTCCTCCTAGTTTGAGGCTCTTCAGTAGTTCACAATCACCGAGGCTCGAATCCAGGACCTTCCGGTTATAAGGCAAGCTTGTAGACCATTCATTCACTGAAACCCAATCCATTAGGATATGAAATTCAACTTTTTCTTTATTCAATATTAATTCTTTCTACATACATGGGCCAGAAAAGCAGCAGTAGTGGTCAAGATGTATATATCGACATAAAGTGGTAGAACTCCTAGATTTTTACAATGTTCCCTTATTTTGTCACACAGCGATTAGTTCCCGTTGTTTTTATTTTTGCTCTTGCTTTTGATTAATTGATGTAGACACAGAAGTTTAAGGACAAGAAAGTGAAAACAATATGGTAAGAGGTGGAAAGTGACATGAAAGTAAACAAACCTGACAGGTTAAAAGGTGTTTTTCTGTCCAGAAAGTTATAAACGCAACTATAAATTATAAATGATTCAACTTTAATCGTTTCAAAACAATAAATATCTTCATCTAATGGTTGTAGATTATTTCTCAAGTGATCATACATATTTTAGTATCGATTAGTCTGAGTGATTTGTTGTTACTGTTCTAATGGGATTACTGAATTATAGTAGTTATGCAGTATGTATAAGATTATCGCTGTTGAAATACCTGACGTTTTACCATTTATGATAGTAGTTTTTGGTATGTAAACATTCCACCTCATGATTTTGGAATGAAAAATATACATTCGTTAAGTCAATCATAGTTGATTATCATAGCTGCTAAAACGAATAAGACCGAAATTTCCCACAGGCTAAACAGATGGCTCATTATTTAATAGCAGCCTTTGTTTGCTGCAGTGAAAAGTGGCACTCAAGACAATAAATCATTTTGTCTGAAGAAAGCACTGACTACATTTCAGTTCAGTGAAAGGTGTGTTCTTGAATGTATTGGGTAGTCGTTACACTGTCGGTGATTACATCATATACTGTTATGTAAGCAAGTGCTTGACTGTTATACCTTTCCATTACACCTCCTTTTGATTTCTTTTAAAGGCAAATGCATAGAATAATGATTTTAGATGTCGGTTCACATGCATTCTCAAGAATTAATCGGCAATATTTTCGACAAGCACGCACGTGTGGTTTTCATACGTGCTGAAGGTTTTTCTCTCTATGCTATAAAATTATTATATTATTGGGTGTTTTTAAACAATTTGCAGCCAGTCATATGTCCAGTTTACTCTTCACTCTGTGCTTGACCAGGTAGTAAAGTGCTAAGCTAATAAATTTCCCACAGGTTCACATCTTAGTACGATGAGGCTCCTCTTGACCAAGCCTGATCACAGTTACAGCTAAATAGTAATAAGTGCTCATTGAAGTTCATATCTTTGAGAACAAATAACCAAGTGGTTTTTGTGTTTATATTCCACTGACACATTGACATACATTTAGGGTGAAATACAGTTAAAAATAAGGTGAGATGTGAGGACACATATCAATCATATCAACATTTAAATTATGACAACAATGAATGCACAATTGCAGTGGGACACGATTTAGACAGGAGAGGAATTCATTTGAACAACATGAGTCACTCTTCACTACTAGAATAAGTAAACAAGACAAACGCAAGATTGATACACTAAAATTACTGAGACTGTAATAATTCACGATATCAAAACACGTGTACAAAATCTGTTCATTCAACCAAATAAAAGATTAAATCTAGCCTTTTGGTAGTCTATTTACCACACAAATATATATCTCATCAGGAAAACTATTTCTGTTGTTACCTACATTAAATAGATATTGTTTATATATGAGACATATTTTATCAGGGCTGATTTTCCCTTTAAACACGAACATTGTGTTCTGTCTTGACTAAAATTATTATTGACATTGTGATGACCTCTGTATCAAGTAATAAATCTTCTGTCATAATAAATTTCTATTACGCTTTTGATGGAGTGACTGGATTTTGCTGACTCTGTGAATCTGTATGTTTTTTTAGATTTAATAATAGTAACCATTAATAATAGCTTTATTCCAAGTGACATGTTTAACGAAGTGTGGAATTCTCAGTATACAATGTAATATCTTGCATTTAATATTCTGTTTGCACTAATTCGTCAAAAGAGAATTTCATCACGAAATCAGTATGATATCTGCAATAGTAGTAATAATGATAATTTAATTAATCATTAATAACAAACATAAGAAGATTGAGGGAAACAACACTGAGGAAAACAACAGCAGCCCTTTATTCGCTCTTGCAAAGTATACTACTAACTCAATGTCTAACATTTTTACTACTTCTACATCGATACTTCTTCTACTAAAAGTTTCATCGAGACGAATCAGTTCATAGAAGTCTGGTTTCCATTTGAAAGTGCAGTTTAGTTGAACTCTCAGTTTGCAAATTAATTTGCGATCTGCACAGAAAGGTGAAGTTACACAGACTGAGACGGTAAGGATATGTGTTACGTATACCTAGTCATCTCCTTCCTCGGCGGGCAATGTTAGCTGACATATGGTTAGGTTGGGAAAGAGCCACTGGCGGTCAAACCAAAACATGGCTTCATCAGTCAATGAAATCGACAAAAGTTAGTCTAAGCCACGTAGGAAGATGTAGACTTCCTGGTTGGGGTCCTTGGGGTGGTAAAAACCAATGATTGGAGACGATTGTTGATATGGCTCAAAATCGTTCTCAATGGCGTAGATGAAACCATTCCTTGTGGTTTAGAATATCCAATAAAACTATACAGCTCTTCGATATTACTGTTCCTTTTGCCTTATACCTCTGTTTTGCATTTCTTTTGACTTTCTTCTGTTGCTCTGTGTGCTAAGTGAAATGTAGCGACTTGAAGTGCTGCACATCGGTGCAAACGTTCTATGTTGAAATCAGTCAGTCAGTCAGGAGATCTGATTAATTAAAACCACCCAGTTCTTGATCAGATGATTGGTTGGTAGATTTCATTGAAATGGCTAGTGAGCACTGCTAGTTGATTTGAATAGTATTTGACCACTCATCTCAGTAGTACGTAGTGTTATCGAAGGTGGAGTTAACGTTCTGACATTTTGAAGTATTAAGACCTAGGCTATTAGGTAGGAACCACTAGCTAATTTTGACAAAACGCTTTTCATCTTGGAATAATCCGTTTAGGAAGTAACAAATTTAGAATTGTCAGGCCATCAGCATACTAAAGAAAATTGTTATCATCAGAAGGATAAACTATAAGCAAGAAAAAGAGTGAAAGAAAAGGACAAAGTACGGTGGTGTGAGGGACTCGAGCTGATGAAAATGAATTCTAACTGCTACATATCATTATTTCCACATAACAAATGTTTCTACGACAATAGGAAGTTACTGTAGCACTTAAATAAAATTTAGTTTTTAGAGTGAATAACATGATGATAGTGTGAATCAAAAACCTAATGGACACACGCTTTTTCTTAAGTAGTTCACATAATTTGTTATTTTATGATCGGATGCTTTTTTATGGATTTCGGTGACAATCAATACTTGATTGAACATTACAACGTTCTGATGAAAGTGTTCAACTATCCATTTTGACTAAACTAACCCAAACTATTCCCTGAATGAATTTTTAAAAAGTATACAGTACAAGAAACTAATGGTGTTTATTTTAAATGTTCTAAACAGGGAAGATTTAGAAATTTTGTTTTTAATTTTATTTCCACTTTCGTATGACTGATTATGTTAGTAAGAATAGAATAATCACTGATCCTTGTTGCACAATAGGCGTCTCTGGTGATCTGATGGCATTGGGACCAATCAGTTTGGTGTCTGAGACGATGGTTTCAGGGTCCAAGTTTCAGTGGAAACAATATCACTGACTAGGAATACATATACATCCGGATGACTAGTCCTAAATAGAACGAAGTGCGCATCCTAGGTTCTACTGCCAGATGCCACCAATCAAAACAAGATTTGGAAATATTTCTGAGTTCACTGAAGAGATCAACAACAACACCGGGAAACACATAGCTTTTAAGACTGGTTGTTATGCAACTTGTTAACATAAAGTGACTGTCTAGTCATTAACGGAACAATTAAATGTTTATTGACGTTTTTAACACTATTTATTTAGTCACAATCAAATTTTTAAGAATTCATTGAGATAGAAAAGGTTAAACATAACATAATTCTGCTGAGAAAACTACTGTAGTTTAAGTAGTTACACAATACTATGTTTGTTAACCATGCTGTTACAAGAAAAAACCACACCCAGGATACATACTCTGTTTATGAGCTCTATATATTAATATTATTTGTACCTTCCTATTTTCTTTAAGTGTTATAAGTAAAATATTTTGACTGTGTCTATATGTAGACCTGTTGGTGAGCCCATGAAAAACTAAGTTTACGTAAATACGGGGATTATTTCCGTTTGAGCCAGTTACTTAGAAGTTGCTGCTCACGGACACTTATAGAAATTTAAAGTTGAGATTACTAATTTTGAATGCGTCGGTGATTGTTTTTACAGAAAAGAATTGCTTGGTGTCTACTGACAGGTCAGATACGAGTAAGAATGTTTGCGCAATGCCTCATGGTTAAAATGATATCATTATTTGGTCGGTCGACAATAACGGTAGAATTTGGAGCGCGCACTGCGGCCTTGGTGTCGTCATATGGATGTGTCTGCATCGCCAGTGGGTGACTCACAAGTTATCACTGGGTTTGAAAAGCAGAAGTGATCACGTTACAACTTTATTCACCAGGCTAGAAGGTCCAAAATCCCTCATTGTAGATACATATACGTGTAATGACAAGTCTTAAGTGAGAAGACTTGCATATCCAGGATTCACCCTCTAGTCACTATCAACCAAATAACCAATGTTATTTCTCAACACAAGCCTTAGTATGTCACTTTAAATGTATTCACTGAAAAATATTCAGAGATGGGTGTTCATATCATAGGACAGTTGACCAGATAAATGCCACAGACAGAAGCAACAGTTGTTTAAATCTCTGCCTCCACTATAGCATTGGCATGAATTACGAACATTCTTTGAGTCATTACTGTAATGTTAATACATAAGTACTTTAATGATGTGAGCCTGATAGACTCAAGTTTGGTGATCAGTTTATTGAATTAAACAACATCTAGTGATTCACTTTATTAGTTTTGTCTATCATCTTAAACGTACGACAAAGATGTATTTACCCATTACTATATATTCACATATAAAAGAAAATGACATTTTTCACATACATTAGTGGGTTTTCTATAGTTTGTTTTGTAAGGGTTAGATATGCTTTTACGAGTTGGTCACGGATTGTTATCTTTTAGAGAACCATTGAAAACCAGGGAGTACTGGACAGCTGCTATTTCATCCTAATTTGGAAATCATCGGAAGTACCCACCCACTGGGATTCGAACCCGGGACCTTCCGGTTACAAGACAAGTTCGTATACCATTCAACCACTAGGACCCGACTCAGTGGCCAGCCCATGAATTCTAACTTCTACCAATTCGTGATTTAGCGCGACCCCAACCATTGTCGTTGGTGGGACATCCATCTACACACGTGACATCTAATTGGACCTCACTGGTCACGACTTCTCACTAGAACTCCAGAAAACTCCATCCTGTATCAAGTCACTAGCGAGCATCAGATTAATTTTCTATAGTTTGGTTTGTAAGGACTAGGTATGTTTTACGGGTTGATCACGGATTGATATCAGTTAGAGAACCATTGAAAACCAGGGAGTACTGGACAGCTGCTGTTTCATCCTAGTTTGGGAATCATCGGCAGTACGCACACACTGGGACTGAATTTACTATATTTACTACAGTTTTAAATACTTGTGACTTTATATAATTTTGTTTCGAAAATGAAGTATTACTAAACGAGCTTGATACATGAGTGAGTGAGAGGAAAGATATAATTGCGGGCTAAATATTTCCAGAAATCACTACGATTATATTTACAGTAGATATTTTAGGCCGCCATTTGTAATTTTTGTAAAAAAATAGGTTTGCTTACGAAACTATTTCACATTCGATAGTATATAAATCTAGTCAACTTCAAATGTTTCACTTTTGCGTCTTTCATTGAGTGGGGTTTTTCAACCCTGGTTGTGTACGTATCATCACTGGTTGAAAATCCCAGTTACATTCAAAATACCTAGTTTTTATTGAACTCATTAGATGAATCTATTTTTCATTATCCCATTTTTCAAAGGGACTAACACGTATAATAAACTTAATCAAAATAAAAAAAACAGCAGTTGTAATTAGATAATTTAAATTTAGAAGGATTTATATCTCATTATCTTATTTAATCCCTCTCTGCTTTTCTTCATAAATAGAACAAAAACCTACGCCAGTGGTAACAATGCATAAATGAGTAAATATAAAGACATTTTAGAATACACAGCAGTGGTTTATTCAACAACAAAAAAACTCATCTCACATCACAACAAATCAAAACAATAAGCTCATGCAAATTTTTTTTTAAATATCTGACTTCATTTATGCACTGATCATTTTTGAATGTTGCTTCCTCCATCCTTTTTTTTCTTTTTTTTCAGATATGAAAAGATCTGAATATTTTCAACTTATCAATCAAAAAATTAACGATGGTATGTTTGAGATTGTAGTTTTTTCATTCTATTTTTGTGATTTGCATCAAGGATGAGGAAGTCACATATTTTTTGCTTTTGTTTTTAGAGTTAATTTCCCTTCTTGGCCTCATTAGTATCAGTTTGATTGAGAAGAAGAAGGCTATGCTTGTTGAAAAGCACTCAAACAGATATTTGTTGAATGAGAAAGCATTTTAAGAATTTCAAGATTCATTAAGTTAAATCAGTTGTTAAGAATAGCAAAAACCTTTGAAGGGAGGATAATATTCAATACCGAACACAGAAAATTTCTAGGTGCACTTACTTGTAACACCGATAGAGGCTGAGCTTAGAGTCGTTAGGTTTCACTCCGAATTGACTGAAAATTTGAAAAACTGAATCTTTTTCCCTGTGCTAAGTGCTGAAGATCTTCGCAGTAACATCAGATTAACCAATGTCTTTTATGCTTTCCTAGTGTTCGTAGGCTCTGAAACTCTCATCCATTCTTCGGGCCTGTAGTTAGAACGATGCTGTATGGGTTAGTTTAATTAAAGAGGCGACTTCCTTCAGATATCTCCCGTTGACGACTATTGGCGCTTGCTGTTATTGGCTGGATATCTTCATCAGTTGTGTCTTCTCTACATGCAGCTGAAGTCCTGTCTTCATTGGCTCCTTTGCCAACCTTTTGGTTTTTTGCCTGTAGATATTCGAAATCTCGTGACATGAAAAATAAATTATTCGAAAAATCCAGAACTTTTAAAATCTTTTCGTCAGTTCACAGTGGGTCTGTCTTCTCATTCCTCACAAGGTGCCGTATGATCTGGTTCACCATAGCCAGAAATGTCTTATCTTGGGCTATTTCCACTTCATGTGATTCATTGAAGTTTATTTTGCGAATTAATCGACATATGACGCCACCAAACAGATTATGTATTAGGTTTGTAGGTGTTTGCAGCACTGCACCCTCTCAGTGCTGAAGCAGTTTCCAAATTACTTCATTTATTTGAGACTGGTGATTATGAATTGTTGTTTTTTCCTAATGTTCAGTTTACGAAAGAACCAGTTCTTATTCAGTTCTAGGCTTTTACTGAAATAATAAGTATCTCGGTCATACAAACTTTGTGTATCAAAATCAAATTAATGGTGAGATTTTCTAGTTCTTTTCTGGACAGAAGAATTTTATTATATTATTATTGTTCCTTTGGGTTCCTGATAAAACAATGGGCTTCAACTGCACGTCTCCACTTGCTTCTGTCCTCTCTTGTACTCACTTTTCACCTGCATCCATGTTAGTTCATACTCTTCCAACTCCTCTTCACACCATCTCCTCCATGTCACCCTTGCACTGACGTCACACTCGCCGCTTCCCTTTCGGTCTGGTTCCACTCGAGCAATGGCCTGACGCGCACACGATGTCACCCAGCGGTCTCCTCAACGAGTGTTTAATCCATCTCCACTTTCTCCTGCATATTTGTTGGTTGGCGATTGGTCCTTGTTTTGTTTGTTCCCAGCCATAGTTTCCTGTTGGTGGTGATTCTTTCCAGCCCGGCTCAGACATCTGATCTTCAGTATAGAGTGAAGACAGTTGTTGGTTGATAAATGTCTGCAACAGGCTGTTGGAAATATTCTTTGTGACCCGCTCACCAAGTTTCTGATCCGTATAGAAGAACTGACTGACTTGACGTTTGTATTGAAAATCCGACCGAATTTTGTTGTTGATGCTGGCTGAGTGACGAAGATTTCCAGATTGGTTTCAGGTTGATGAATGTGTTCCTCGCCTTCCCGATTCTCGCTCGATTTGACATCCTCGTCCGTTCCGACTGCCTGTAGTTGAGACAATGCTCCCTAGATAAGTGAATGAAGTAACCTCTTTCAATACCTGGACAGAAGAAGGTAGTTATTAATTACAAAATTAATTAAAATCTATTCTCCATCATGGTAATTTATAATGCATGGCTTGATTTCAGAGTAGTTCTCTTTAAAAGCAGTTACTGAAGCAGCAAAAACAGTGAATTATTGAACTACCATTTCAAACTTTCAGATTTATCAACAATTCATTCCAAATTGTGATGTAAGATCAAGTCCAGGGCTTATCACAATCATAGCCAGGACGTTAACGTGCAGCCACTCTGCTGGAATTTACCTGTATATAGGACATGATTGCTCAGAAGAACTACTATTCATTATCATGTGTGATTTAGTAATTTGAAATTCAATGTAGTTGAATCTAACAGTTTTCTTAGGTTTTTCTTATTGATATTGGCATGTGGTTAAAACATACCACTGATTCAGTATATATGCATATTCATGTATTCTTTATGCTCAAAGATATCGCTAGAAATATCAGCTTTGACTGACTTATTTCCGTAAATGAGGTAGCTGTAAGTCTATCATCGAACAGGTGTCAACCAAATAAGCAGCTCACTAGGTTTCAGTTATTTAAATTCTGAAAATTGTTTGCTTCTAATGTATCTCTTGCAGGATTTTATGGAACATTCCTTGTCTCCAGACGCTGATAAGTTAAGTTTTCATGCGAAACATGCTAACATACATTCTGACTGGTTTTATGTAACTTGAGTTTAAGACAACAAACATACATGTTATACATGTTTCAGTTATACTGATTTAATTGTTTATATTTATAGTCTTGCGTATCTTGCGTTTATAAGTAAATCATGCTAATGAATAAATTTATTCACTCATGCATATCTGCATTACTCATCTTAAGGATACAACCGGATATGTTGTATTTGTTAATTTCTTTTATATCACATAAAAATGCATCAATATGCATGCTCATTATCCATTAAACTGATTACTTTGGGAGAAATACTTTCTAGAAGTTATTTCCAGATAAAGAGATTGCAAGAAGTATTATCTTTCTTTTAAAATAAACTTCCCTTCTGTCTCCATAGTTATACAATTAATTAAAAGTTTTCAGCATTCATATAAAATTAAAACTAGAATAGAAAATTTTCAATATAGAAAGAAAGGCTAAATTTGCAGTAAAAAAAAATTATTTCATTCTATTTTTCAAGAGTTGATATGTAGGCATTTGATTTGTTGTTCAAGTTTGACCACGGATTGATATCAGTTAGAGAACTTTTGAAAACCACGGAGTACTAGACGGCCGTTTCTTCTTAGTTTGGGAGTACGCATCGGTGGGTTTCGCTAGCAACTGGCCACAGTATGGAATTTCATTGGGTTGTAGTGAGAAGTTAAAACCAGTGGGGTCAATTCTGTCGGTAGTGAGAACAAATGCTCACCGATAACATTGTCTGGTGGTCGAGCTAAAAATCACGAATTGGTAGAAGTTAAAATTTATGGGTTGGCCATTGAGCTGAGTGCCAGTGATTGAATGGTAAGTGAGCTTTTCTTGTAACCGGAAGGTCCTGAGTTGAAAGCCGTGTGGTGGTTACATACTACCAGTGAGTTCCAAACTAGGCCGACGAAAGAGCTGTCCAGTACTTCCTGTTTTCCGATGGTTCTCTAACTAATATCAATCCGTGGTCAAACTCGAAAAACAGATCATTCTATTTGGTAAGTTCTCATTTAGTGCGAAATACCTAAAATTACAATAGTTATAAAAAAATGGTAATAACATAATTAAGTGTTTGAATGGTAGTAGAAAAAATATTATGGAAATAATGTATCCAAAATGTAGAGATTACCTAGCGAATTTTAACCTCATGAACTACAACCTTCTTGAGTTGATATGTGAACTTGTAAACTAACACCATTTATTAAATTTCTTTGTTTTCTGTTTTCTCCTACTCTCTCCATTTCTACTTTGAAGACATATAAATTAATGGTAACATAAACTTAAGCTTATGATATACACATATATATATATATATATATCATAAAATTAACGTTTGCATTTCGGATGCGCTAATTTTATGATATTTTCTCTGCTACCATTCAAGTTTATTACTGTAATTTTTATAACCATTTTAATTTCAAGTAGTTTACAGTCGATGAGAACCTTGGAAATAAAATGATATCATATTTCACTGCAAATTCGACCTTTCTTTCTATATAGAAATTTATCAAAGGCACCATGCTTATGAAATTTGATTTTCAGCCGTTTAAATGCCTTCTCTCATTGTATGTACTATCTTAAGCTACTGAAATGATGAATTACTTTCGGTTAGATCCCTATAACTTAAAATTTTGAAATATTTGTTCGTTGAATAATTTTTTTAACTATGGCAATTTTACTATCTTGTTTATATTTCACTGATTGTTAAGTAAATCACAAGCCATACAGGTGTTGAACTTGATGTCTATTGTTAAATAGGGCAGTTCTACTGTGAAAAACCTACTTTCATTATATTTCTTAGGCAATGATCATTTGCTTGATGCCTTTAAAATAATGAACTGTTTCTGTTGAAGTGTCACTTTCATCGGATTGAAGATAAAATACTTCCTCAGGCGTGATTAGATAGTGCATGAGAAGTAGCTCTCTTGTTTTTTCAAAGTATGTTGGTTAAATACATACATCGGTTGTGTGTGGAACGATGTTATTAGGCTATGCACTATGTCTCAGCTGCCTACTATGATTCAGCCTTAATTAGGGGCTGTATACTGGAATATTTTACAGGAAAATCTTTTTAAAAAAACAACGATTTTGCCCGGATGTACTCATCAGCAGGGTGTAACTTCATTCTTAAGGAAAATTTTTACTTATTTCGATCACTATATACTGAAATCAGAGAAATAACCAGTAAACTATCTTAATATTTGCTTGTTATGAAAATTCTCATTATTCTTCCTGCGCAATTTTAACAATTCTACAAAACTTTTCAGTAGTCCATTTTATATAAACAGTTTAAATAAAATAAATCTATAGGATTCTTCTCTTCCGTGTTTATCTTTTTTTAATTTTATTTTTAAACTTTTTTATTACAGTTCCAGCTGCACCAGTTTTTCTTGTAGATGAATGTATTTCTGAACGGAATGTAATAACTCTTGTATGGCAGTCAACATCATCTATACCTATTGATCGTTACACACTGGAGTTGGACGACGGGGCAGGTGGAAATTTTAGGGTAAGTTCATGCTTCAGCACCATCCTTTTGTTTATCTTTTAAGAAACTTTTATGTGCAAAATAAGTTTAAATGTTCTCTTTCTTCGTTGTGCACACAGTTTTTATTATTTTTTTAAACTATAATTTTGAAACAAGATAATCTGAACAGCGAATTTTAGTACTGTTGTAATAGAAAAGAAATGTTTAGCGTTTAAGTAATGGTCATGCTATTTAGTAATGTTTAAAAGTTTGGGAAGAGATAAATATTAAGAAAATAAATCCAGTTGCAGATATCGGAAAAACAAATTAAAGTCATTTTTAGCATGTCTTCAAAGTTCACTGTAATTTACATTCTTGATTAACCTACAGAATTTTACCCAAAGACGTTCCCATTATTAACTCAGTTATAAAATCTATCTTACTTAGATTGGTCTGGCAGGCTTTCCCTTCTAAGATGGAATAAATTCGCTTTCAGTATTTCATGACGGAATACTTAGGCGCTTACAGATAGAATTACTGACAATCTGAAACACGGAAAACTTTAAATGACAGTAGTAATATGAAGTTTTGTAAAATGACTTGTTTGCAAGTTTAGCATCTTTAAATGTATTTCTTAAACTTAAAGAGTTAGGAAATCACCATTTCAGTGTACAATCATCGCAGAATAAGAATAATAGCATAAAATTATGCATTCACGCACACCAAGTGATGAGCACATGTAACACATTTCTTATCTAAAAGCAGAAATAGATTGTACCCACTGACCTTTTCACCGTTTGTAAAACGTAGAACTATCAATAAACAGTTTTTCTAAGAGGTATTTTCATTCTAATCTTACATAATTAGGCATAATTTGAATATTGTGAAATCCTATTTTTCCCTATAAGTAAATGTGAGTAGATGAATGTTGGAAGTTGAATTTTTTCCAGGAACATTTAAAGTTGATCATCACTTTGAAACTCCTATCATCATAACATAATCGTATAATGCACAATGGTTGTACTGCCATCATTAGCTACTCTGATAAGGATGTATCAGGGGAGGCCAATGGTCCAAGGAAAACGGTCTCACCTTAAACCCCTCCAAATGCCAAACAGTCAATTTCACCTTTAGGCACAAATCTGACCTAAACAGACTGGTTAGCACTCACGAGGTTTGCAGCATAGATGGCACTGAAATAGAAAGAGAGTCAGAAATTGAATACCTAGGCGTCATTCTATCTGCTGATCTTTCCTGGTCTTCTCATATCTTGATGATTTCTAAGAAAATATTCCGTCTTACCTTCTACATCAAGAAGTTAAGACATTCTGGTATAACTCAACCCTTACTCCTACAATTCGTTAACTCCCACATTCTCCCTATTATTCTCTATTGTTCCGCCTTAGTTTTCCCAGGGCTACTGAAGAAAGAATATACCTTATTACGCAGGATATTAAAGGTTATCAGCAGGGTGAGCAACGTGCCACTTAACCAGCTTGTTAATATTCTGCTTGACAGGCACATGGGCTCATGTGAAAAATGGGCGAAATCCATTTTATCTAACTCACATCACTTTCTTCATTCACAACTCTCCCCTTGAATCTCATCAGGCAAAACCAGAAGCCTATATATGCTCGCACTAGTAAGTACAAAAACTCAACCATACCCTACTTAGCTCGTGGTCTGTGCGATAAAGAAAGCATTAGGCGTGAAACCTTTAACTTATTAAATAGTCAGTAGAACAACTGGATCTCGTCTTTCCAACTCATATCATTTATAGGTACAACGTTTTTTTTCTTTCTTTCTTTTCCTTTTCTCTCTCCTTTTTTTCTGTTATGCGCAGCTTTCTTTCTTTCTTCTGCTTACGCCAGTAAATATGCTAGTACCTACTTTTCTAACACGTTCAAACACTGTTTAATTTTGGCTTTACTACCAACATGCTAATATGTTGTTATCAAAACTAACTGAGATTACCCTTAATCTATGTAGAATTTTATTTTATTGGTAATTTACTAACTGGATGCAATACTGTAGTAAAATGCAGAGAATTCCATTCTGTATCGGAAGTACTGTTTTGGAATAAAGCTATCATCATTATCATTATTATACCCAGCTTTGCGTACCTTTTAAACTAAATGTGAAAAATGTTTCATCCTAGCTGTTGACCTATTAGTGCCACAGTAGATACTGGTCTATCTACATGTGGCAGCAAATATAACCATAGATTATGAATTCAGATATGTTGTGTGAAGAATGAAAACCCAAAAACACAGACTACTACTTCAGATTATAATGTTTCATAATGCAGAAAAATTATCTGACAGTAGGAGCGAACACTAAAACATGGAAAAATGTAGCAATTCACACTATCACAGTTGACCATACTATATGGACACATTCTCAGAATATGGTAATATGATGAGGAAGTATTGAGATAGAACAAAATTGATTTTGTTAGTCCGATTTTCTTTATTACGTGTAAAGTTCAAACCACCTATTCAGTAATTTATTTGAATTGCTGATTGAATAAAGTTTGTTCGGTGGCAGATGCTTAGAAGTCGTACAAAGGTTTTTTTAATTATTATTTTAAAAACGCTGAATGAGTTTTGGTGATAACCTCTATAGTTTTCACATTCAAAACTGTTCTGTAAGAAGTTGGCATTTTCAAAGAACTGTGGTAAATGACTAAAACTGCAATGAATAATAACATCTGTGGCATCGTTACTGTAACTTTAAAAATCCTGCCGTATATATTCATCTATTAATCATATGTTAAGGCGGCCATATCTTCAAACAAATAACAAATGAGATGCAGTTAAGGTTTATAAAGATTTCGTTCACGAATGAATAATTTGTAACAAAATGTTTTTAGTTCAATGTGTTCTGATTGACAGATAAACAAGTGAAGCGTGCAAATGCTGGTAGAATGCTCTTTTAATCAGAATTTTTAAAAAATCTTCACAGAAATCTGTGAGCAGAAACTACTAAACTATTCTGACTTCCTGAAATAATTGTAAGGAAATATAAAGCTAGTGCGTTCAGTATTCAGACTTTTTTCTATTCTACTCAATATCAAACTAGACTCTATTCTCAGTAGATTTTCTTTGCTATATATACGATTGAATTATTTTTAGCAAATAACAACTAAACATTGTTAGCAGGAAGTTAAGTGTGCTTACTCTAAGAAATTAAACATGTCTAAAAGGTAGACCACGCGTACGAAACATTTTGTAAATCAGTCTCATTTATTCACTGGTAATCCAACGTGAAATATTATAATTTCGAAATTTCCTTCAATGGTATCTCTTGATTTAGAGGTTCATACTGCGCTAGTAGTTTGTATTGATCCCCAATGTAGCGTGAAAATACTCCATCACAGTTTAAAATAATTAGCAGGTGAAAATGAGGTTTCTTTCATATGTGAACTCCAGACAAGGTTTCAGAATTTTGTCACGTATTATTATTATTCCCTTGCGTTCCAAGTGAACCATAGAGCTTCAACAACACATCTTCACTTTCTTCTATTTCCTGCCATCCTCTCCAGCTGGGTCTACGATTGACCAAACTATCTCATCTGTTTTTCACACGATCTCCCCTATTTAACCCTAGGTCGACCCACTCGTCGCTTTCCACCGATTTTTCACTCAAGGGCATGGCGCGCGACGTCATTGCACGGTCTTCTCAATGTATGCCCCGATCATCTCCACTTCATCCTACATATTTGTTGAGCGATTAGCTCTCCCCTGTTTGTACCTATAATTTCTTATTGCTTATTCTTTCTGGCCAGCCATTTAGTCTTCACTATGGAGCCAGCCAGCGAATGTGGCAGGTGTTGATGAAAGTCTACAACAGGCTTTGGAGATCCTTTTCGTGACATGCAGTGCAAGTTTGTGACAAGTATAGAAGAACTGGCCTACTTTACATTGGTGTTGGAAATCCGAATCTTTTTTGTTATACTGAGTGAGTGCAGAAGATTTCCAAAATGGTTTCAGGTTGATGAATGCACATCTTGAGTTTCCGATTCTCGCAAGCTCTGATATCTCCATCAATTCTGACTGCCTGTAGTTGAAACGATGCTTCCTAGATAAATGAAGAAAGTAAACTTTGTTAAATCTCTCCCGTTGATGGTGATTGATGCTGGTTGTTGTCGTAGTTGTCATTCGTTGGTTAACTTCAACACCTCTGCTTTCTCTGTGTTCACATGTATTCCTGTCTTCGTTGCCTCTTCAGCCAGTTTATTGGTTTTCCCTTGCAATTCTTCGAGTTTGTGTGACATTAGACACATATCGTCTGCGAAATCAAGATCTTCCAGAGTCTTCTTATCGGTGTTCCAGCGTATTCCTGACTCCTCGCCCCCAATAGTGTGCCGTATAATCCAGTCCACTACAATTAAGAATATCGTAGGTGATCATAGACAGCCTTATCTTACTCCTGTATGCATTTCAAACGCCTCTCTGAGTTTCCCATAGTGGATCACTTGAGACGTGCAATGTCATATAGCTAGCTGTTGAATGAGGCTGATAAAGACTTGAGGTACGCCGAAATGTTGAAGTAGTTTCCGAATTATTTCTTGGTCAACGCTGTTTGTCGAAGGCCTTTACGAAGTCGACGAAGTTGAGGCAGAGTGATGTTTGACTGCCATTCTATGCTTTGTTCGATGATGACGACTCTTTGAGATGCAATTTGAACAACACACTTTTCGCCTTCCATGAATCCATCTTGTTACGGGTTGGCGCAGTTTTGTATCCAGTGCATCTTCTATTCTCTCCAGGATGATGTGGCTTAGTGTTTTACTTGGGGTGAGCAACAACATGATTCCACGCCAGTTCTTGCACAGGCCTAAGTCGCCCTTCCAAACCTTTTGTAGTAATGGCATGAGAACATCTCGCAGTCTCTGAGTCCGTTCTCAATTCCATCTAGTCCTGCTGCCTTCTCGGTTGGTGTTCAGTTGCTTGATCGCTTTCAGAATTTCTGCTTTCGTTGGAGGATTGGTGTCCACTGGCAGTTCTGTGAGTGCTGTTGGCTGTGGCGGCATTTCTGGG